TGGTGATGGTTCTGGTTCACTCTTGGGACTCCTGGTCCTTGTATGTTGGTAAGATGAGGGTTACGGCACCTTTTGTACAACGACTGATTCAAAGTGCTGCACAGGTCAATAAATACAGAGACAGTCCTATAACTGACCAGCACACACACACACACACACACAGGGCAGCTCTACAGTGAACTTTAACTACATAGTTAACATGGAAGTGGTCAAAAACATCAAACAGATTTTTAATTGTTCAAATAAATGGCAAAATCTACATACTCTTATCTTTCATACATGATCAGAAACTAACTTGAAGAACATATTTTTCCTTCTTTCCCACCAGGTGACTCAACCCTGGATGGACACTCTGAGGACTTCCTCCTCATCTCCACACTGTTTATATTTTACCTTCATTCTTCTCAGGTGTGTGAGTGTAGCCCAATGAAAGACTGAACATGTGTTTACACCTATGTAGGGTTTCTGCTTCATTCCTTTACTGAGCTACCTGTGGACTTGTTGTCCCGCCTGCTGACATGTAAAGAAGAGTTTGTGAGTCAGCTGCTGACCCACACCTGAACATAAACTCATATTTATAGACACCCTGTGAGATGAAGCCACTATAACTCTCCATACTTTGGTTTCAGTGGCTCCCTGCGGTGCTACTACAGGTAATAACGTGCTAACAAGCTGAGCAGCATCAACAGTTTTCGTGACATTTCCTCAGTTTGTATAAACAAACGTATCTACAGAATGATATTTAATGAGCTGCTGACCTCGTCTCGTCCATCTGGGCCCGTAGTTTACATTCCTGCGACCTGCAGCGCGTCCGTCCGCCTCCAGCTGACACAACTTCACTTTCACATCTTGTCATATAAACAGGAACAGCCCGCCCACTCGCTCTTCTTCTCCTGATCACAGCCTCACCGCAGCAGAGGCGCGGTGCTGCCCCCCACCGGCCGCCGCTGGAACTACACCCGCTCAGTATGTACGCCCATAGATATGTTTAATAAAGGTTTTATTAAAAGGGTGTACATGTAGAGGGCGCAGGTGACAGGAAGAGGAAGGTACAGGTAGGGGGAGGGCACACAGTTTTCACCAGACCAGCATCAGACCAGCATCAGACCAGCACAGATGTATCCCAGATTCACCACAGGAAACCCCTGTATTTTCATTATTTGCACACCATTGAATAAACCATCCACTAAACAGCAAGTATACAGACTGGAAATTCTGTTGTTGTTCTGCATCGGTTCACTCTGCTCCACCTGTGCAGTAACAGCAATTAAAGAACATTAGGATATTGAAAAATTCCCATTACAGTCTCTTTGAGTTATAAAAACGTGTGTGTTGGTGGGATTCGCTTTTCCACTTCAAACAAAACAGTTTTTAATTACCAGCCTTAACAGTCTCTATTGGATGGATGGATGGATGGATGGAATGGATAGAGAATGGATTGATGGATGGATGTTAAGATAGGAGAGGGGACTTTAAACCCAAAACTCAAAGTCAAACAGAATGAAGTTATCAATCCATCTTTATTAAGTTGCCTCAACTTGAACTTAGTTCTAAATCAACCAATGCATAAATCTGGGTTTAAATTACACACAGTATTAAGTTGATGTAATTATCAACACTGATGTAGTGGTAATCTCTGAAACAATCACAGTGAAACAACAGCTTATACACCAAAGTTGGTACAGAGGTCTGACAAAGATGATTCAGGGAGATTCATTCTTATGGCAGGTTCTGTGTGATGAGGGAGGGTGATTGACCTTCAAGAGCTTCTGTCGCAGTCTCTGCTTCCTTGAGGAAAAAGGATGGAAAAATACAAATTACCCCAATAATCATAGGAAAATCAGAAAAGAAAATATTATAAAACACAGTGTAATCAAAGTCAGAATAAGGCAGTAATAAATTCACTAAAATAATGACATCAGAATATTATTTGCAAGCTAAATAGTTTATCTAAACCATCCACACAGAAAGATCCCAGAACCTTCTAGATGTGAGGCACCGATCACTCCAACACACTCCGCTCTTATTTCATTAGATTTGTTTTCACAACTTGCAGCCTTGCATTTATTAGATGAAGAAACAGGTCCCTTGAATTCATTTGTTAGTTTTTTACAAACCAGTGATTTTCCAACTCATCACTTTTGACACCTGCCACCAGTTCAACCAACAGACTGCACAAACAAAAACGCATTAAGAAATTAAATAAAAGCACAATGATCTCACAGTCATTCTTATTTTACTTGTGCTCTTGCAATAAATCTGCTGTTAGCATACTACATATACTTTGGTGTATTAGCTGTGCAGTAAATGCTGCCTTCTGAATGATATGGTCGTAAACGTGATGGCAGGAGGATGATTAATTCAGGGCCTTCTTTTACTCTAAAACAGCTTCTTGGTGGCTTTGGTTCCACAAGACTGTTGAATGTAAAGCTACATACAGCCCTTATAGTCGTAGTTCTGTTGGCAATTAAAGGAAACTTTAAATACACATTCTGAAGATGTGAGACTTACATCAACCTGTTGAAAAATGTGGAAACTTTAAGTCAAGCTCCTTAAATGCTAGATTTCAGACATAACATCTGACTGTTTGGACACCTTCACAGTTCTAGTGGTCCTATGGAGGGAACAGAGCTTTGTGTTCACTGCTCTCTACTGGCCACAATCAGGAACTACAGCACAGGACTTGAACCAGCGCCTCCACCCTGCTGCTGAGGACTGCTTTGGATCTTTGTTTGAAGGTTTTTTCATTTGAGTTTTGGAAGCTTATTTAATATTTCAGATCAAATCAAAATCGAATCAAGTTTGTCGTCATCTTGCTGTACAAGATGAGAGAGCGCTCCTTCAGGATCCAACAACAAAAAGAAATTAAATAAAGAAGTGTTTGCATATCCGGATCAGAAGCTCAGCATTCTGACAGCTGACATACTTCAAATTTGCGGTTTTTAAATTGACTACAAATGAGCAGAACCTCACTTTGTTTAGTGTTGGTGTCGTGTTCATAGGAGTAGAACTGAGAGTTTAGTTTGGCATCAAAAATTTTAAAAATGGCACTGAAAACAAAACCCTTACTGAAGAAGAAAACACTGAAATTGAAATATTTGTATTTTAGAAATGTACAGAGATCTCCATATGTGAAGAACATTTTATATGTCAGCTGTTGATCATGTTCATTTAATTGTGTGAAGAGAAAGTTGTGGTAGCTGTCAGTATTGGTATTTTGCAGCCCTCGTTGTAACTCAATGTATTTTAGCTACCAAAGAATTAAAAAAAAATGCCAGAACAACTTATTTAGATACAAATATTTCAGTTTCAACGTTTCCTTTTCCAGTTCAGGCTTTATTTTTAATGCCAGGAGTGTTGTGGCCCCACACCAGGAGCATCATCTGTTTTGTTTTGTGGCAGCTGTCAAGTTTGTCCTGAGTCGCACAGGAAGCAGATTGTTGCGTCAAGAAAATAAAAGCACATATTTAAATATCTCTATATTATTCTAGGAAAGGTATTTGTTTGGACCAGTTTTCCCTTAAAATAAAAACACCCTGTTATTGTGTCCATGGAGGGCATTGTTATAAAGTAAACCCCACCAGGCATGAAGAGTTATCTTCGCGAGTAGAGGTTTTAATTTGAAGGCTCTTCCTCGTGCTCTGTGGCTGTTTGCGGTACCTTGACGCACTGATCGTTAGCAGCCACGTCTCACGGTGTCCAGATATGTGAGTCCCTCAGATAGGTGGATGTTTGTTCATGGGTGTGGTAGCGGTATTAAACCCTCTCTCTCCCTGTGTGTGTGTAGTGTTGTGTGTGTGTGTGTGTGTGTGTGGCTGACCGAGCGGCGGACTCCTGGACATCCCATCATGGTGCCGCACACAGCAGCTAGCTAGCGTCGGTGTGCAACTTCCTCCTTCGTGAAGTCCGCTAGGCAGCAGCTCGTCGGTCTGAACTGAAGCGACCTGATTTACTGACAGGTAAGAGGTCACATTCACATTCCGCTATCTTACCGTGACAGCTCATTGTCCGGTGTGAAGAGCTAGCAGCCCCCAGGTCAGGGCTGTGTTACCGGCGGTGCGTGGAGCTTTGGATCCACCGCATCCGCACAGTTGTGGGAACTTTGTGCAGCCGCACGTTGGTCTCAGAAACCAGCAGCTGCTTCTGGTGCACGGAGGGCTCTGTCGCCTGATGTTCCAGATGTGAAACAGCGATGTTGTGTTAGCACTGTCAGCATGCAGTGGATTAAATAAAACAGCAGTGACAGAGGGCAGCCTGGGGCAACAGGGCATCTGGTGGCCACCACAGACTGAAGCCTGAACAAGAGAACAAGGGTCATGGTGAGGGTGAAGGTACAGTAGGAACAGTGGACGGGCTGGTGGGACCAGGAGCTCCACATCACAGGATAGAAATGCAGCAGCTTTTTAAATATGGAAATAGTGTTTGTAGATGTATGATTCAGGCTGACCTGTGGATTTAGCTGAAGCTCTTGGATCAGACTCTTGAAGACTGTGGGGATGAAACCTGCTTTGAAGAGCTCTGGAGACAAACTGCTGAACAACGCAAACTGACCCAGAACCTGCAGCCCAAAGACGAAACATGCTAAACAAATGTCTGGATGGACACGGTGTGATGTCTCCACTAGGATGGTGTTCTGACCCGAGCTAGGACCGAGCCTGTACTTGACTTGTGGAATTTAAATTGTAATTATCTTAGAAGATTTATCAACAATTAAAAGGAAAAACTTTAGTAACCCTTCCAGATGTTTAATCAACTGA